GATCGCGAAATTAGTTGAAAGATTCTCAAACACAGCTGCTATGATAAGTCAAAAGTGATAATCCGGTGGGGCAGAGGTTGGCGGGAGGGGAAGGAACACAGGTAAGCCGAGTGACGCCGGTAGAAAGGAATAGCCCGGCTCCAATCCGGAACGGTTGTTCGATCCAGCCTGTGTTCCGGTAAAGTGCATCGGATCACACGATTGGCGAGCGCGCTTGCGCGATCGTAAATCGGTTAGTGGCTGTCGCTTAGCGCTGCGTGTCCGCCTTTAGCCGCTCGTTCCGGGACGAATGGCTTTGGGAGGCTGGCTTCTCTCTCCCATGCGGGCTAAAGCACACACGCGGCCGAGGGACGGACGGACATCGGCGACGGAGATCGATAGCATCGGCTACGGAAATATACCAAGTTAATAATGCACTCGATAATCACGATGAGACTCGCCAATGACGATGACCTCGGCGAGAGGAAACGGGAACTCGTCGAGAACGAACGCGACGCTTTCACCGTTCTATTACCTCCTTCGATACAGCCAGTGAATGTATCCGTCAAGCGAAAGACTGTCCATTGAACATTTCCGCTTTTACATAATTGCTGACTGACATTGTTACTATTGCTCTTTTATTAACACATTGTTGACTGGTCACGAGTTAACTCTTTGATGTTAGGTGGGTTAACTTCCGCTGCCACAGTGGTCCCGTGGGACCAAAGCTTCGAAATGACTTGAAAACAATTATAATTTATAAGAATATAACAGTGTAACATAGAATTGTGGTAACAAGTAATTAATAATTGTTCCTTGTTATCTTTGCTACAAAGGAATCGGCGATACGTAAAACGCTGATGTTCCCCGTAGCAGTCAACGTGTTAAAAACTGTCCCACACTTTGCTTAACTTTTTATGCGTGATTTTAACCCACCTAGGAAAGGTGAAGTTACTCATAGTCATATAGTTTAATATTTTATTTAAAGTTTGTCATCCAGCTGGCAATGCTACGTACTAACGGTGAATGCGTACATAAGTGAAAACAAAAATTTATACAAGTCAAAATGCATTAGTAAGTTGTTGAGACTGTTGTGATTATGGTCGGCGAATTGTGTGGTGTAGTGAATTCTGTACAACTTGGGTTGTTGTTTTCTGTAAAATCGTGTGCCTCGAAGTTAACTCGTGGTTGCATGCCCTAACGTTGTTGACCGATCACGAGTTAACTCGTGTTTGAGAAATATTTTAACAAAATATTTAAAGTTATATAAAAGATATGTACAAAGTTTTATTTCAATTCATTATATATACATAAAGTACACTGAAATTTATTTAAATTGTTTCATTTTCATATTTAATAATGAAATAGAAATCGGTGACATGGGATAGTTTCTGCGTAAAATTACAGATCAACAATGGGTTAACAGGTTGACCGTCACTCGACCAAACCTTCCATATTATACCTCATCGCTCATTCTCGCGGCATCTCTTTCACGCGGGTTTCTTATTTACGTGATATTGTTTGTACGTGATGTCAATTTGTACGATCTGAATTTAGGAGTTCAAGAAATATATTTTCCTCGAGTTTGTAAATAATAACTGTCATGCAAATAAAAGAGTTTATAGTGTTTGTTTTGTACGAAGAAACGGTTGAATGTTTCGAATTATGTACAATAGCGATAGAGACATCCAATATAATTTTTCTTTTGTTATCAGACATATCATTATTTTATTTCAGCTATATGAAATAAGTATGTATGTATAAAACTTATACCAGCTTTTCTTCAAAATATTTTGTTTTCTTTTGTACTGGCAGAGTCTATTTTTGTAATGTTCATCAGCGTAAAACGAATCCTCGCGGAATGCATACTCTGCGTAAATGAAGGGTCAGGTGTACTTGAAAGCAATCACAAGAAGAAAACTGATGTTGAATCAAAATATTTAGTCACACGAATAACTAAATGCTAAGATACCAAAATCAATAATAATCAATTCTAATATTATTTGCCTTTGTTATGAAAGAATAATTAATATTATACGAAACACTCAAAATTCTTGCGGTGTTCAATGTGTTAATGGTTAGTAAATATGAATAAAGGTTAAGTTATTTCTATCGATCTCAAATGATAAAGAATGGTCCAGCTGAAGCGATTTTGTGCAAAGTGACATTTTTTAAAAGTAACAGTTACAATGAGGTGTAAAAGATTGGCCAGTATTGATATTCTGAAATAGATCGAGCTACTGTACAATATGCTTAAAATTTTATGCAAATCTAATCGAATTATTTCCATATAATTATATATATCATATTATAATGATAAGAGTTATCTGGTACGTGTTTCCCTTATGTCAATACTTTTCAATTTTACTTATTTGTTATGTAATTCCAAAAAAACTCTCACACACACACACACACACACACACACACGCGCGCGCGCGCGCGCGCACACACGCACACACACATTACCGATTACTTTTATTGCTCAATGACGGTTATGCGAGGTGCGATAAAAGACGAAATGTCCAGCAACTCGCCGGACGTATGAATAAATGTTTAATGAACGACCTGCGATAAAGAAAGTAAGTACACAGCTCGGTTTGAGTGGATGGAGACTCTAATTCCGTTAACGTTCGTAGAAGAAATCATGTTTCTGTCGTCGCGCTATGTCTTTCCACGGATTGTTGAGTTGTATGGAAATTTTCGTTGCAATTAGTTAAATGCATATTGATTTGTCCGGTACATAGTATAGTGGTTATTGAAGAATCAAATAGCAGAGAACTGAAATTGCGTGGTTTTTCTTGTGTAGCTATGTGGACATTTAATGATTAAATGGTTTATTATTTTTCATTACTCTCACATAGCAGAGAGCTGGAGTGCGTTTATTAGTTGAAAGAGTTTGTCATTAATATATTATTTTCATGTAATTGATTTGATTGAAAACTCGTCAACGGAAACAAAGTATAATAAAATTATAGTGCAGAAGATAATATGCTGCGAGATTATTGAAAGTAATGATGATTATTTGAATGATTGATAGCATTAAAATCCTAATAAAATACTAGGAAAACACAAACGCTTTTCTCTTTTAGCATAGTAGCGATCCTTAAGTTCGTAAGCGTTCTACATCTTTATCAAACCTTCTTACGAAATGAAATTCTAGTATCTCACATTTTCATCAATATTACAACTTAACGTTCTCTTCCTATTAGAACAAAGTTAAATCTCCGAGATGCTTTACTATAGCAGTCTAACAAATATCCATGAATCACAGTAAACATTTTTTTTGCAAGTAGTCACCTAATACCATCGTACAATGTAAGCTTCCTTAACACTAGGTTTACGAAGTTTTCTAAACATTTGGGAAATGTTTACGTTGATCTTGATTGATATAATTACACTAGTATGTGTCTTAACCCATTTGCATCATAAGAAAATATGAAAAAGGCGGAGCAAAATAGAGGTGAAGGAAACTTAAGTGTATATACTCGCTAATGATGCAAATGGGTTAACTCTCTATCTTCAAATTTCCAATTTCCAAAATCAAGACAAACGAACATCAATGTTTCTAAGAACGGAAAAACAAACTATACAATAAACGCTCGTAAAACTACTGTTAAACGTTTCAGTCGTCGTTGCAAGCTAGTCGCAATATCTATCACCAATAATCCTAGAATGAAAGGTCAGAATGCAAATAGTGCAGTGGCAGTGCCAATAAACCTCGCATTACCAACCCCTTAATTGGCCGGCGCGCATGGACACGCCATCCGTCTTCGCGCGTCCCCTTTCCTCCTTTTCTTTTCGCCGCTCCCCGGACATTTTTACGAGCACAACGCTATAACGTAGCCGGGGATCATCGGTATCCGCGCGTAACGCGTTTTAGAACGGTTGTTTCGTACCCGACGCGACTTCGGCTACTAACCAATTTATGATCGGCTGGCTGTGCCCACCGAATTGTATGTAGTTAACCCAATTGGAGGCGTCCCGATCCTTCCAGCGATTTCGTTCGTAGTCTTCTCGTTCACCGACTCGCTCCTTATACTTTAAAATTAAACGGTCCCATTAACATTCATCGATAGGCGAGAGAATTTTGCGCGTCGAAAAGGGAACCAATGCTTTTTCCATCGTGGACACCAGAAGCTCGCAGCGCAGTCCCGTCGTGAAACAAAAATATACGGAAATTTATTCCGCCATCGATAAACGATCTTCACCTTCGACGGGAGCTTGGGCACTTGTAATTTGTCGGGATAAAAGTCGAGCCGTGCCGATTGTGAAAAGTTCTCGCGAGGCGTACCGGGTACGATTGAATCTTTGAACCGGCCTGAACGGTTCGATTTCAATGAGAGTTTAATATTATTCTTGCACGGTCAAATTAGTGGGTTGGCTGTTCGCTGAATAGGGAGAGTTGCAATGACCCTTTGTTCTATGGACCGCTGCTAGGCGAACGGAGCGGACGGGGGAACCGTGGCGCGGAGATTCTCGTTTTGCTGAATTCGATGGGAGGCTTGGAATATTTATTAAAAGTTTCGTATTCGCTTGGTTTCAGTGAAAAGTGTGGGGATTCTGAGAAAGTGTCATTGAGATAGAGTGAAGTGTTGTTATTGGAAGTAAGGGCGGAAGGTTCCGTTATAATGTACTTATATTTCGTGTATGCGAAAATGTTGGTAATATATTGACAAGAAAATTAAGTGACTCGCCTTGTATACCAGGAAATTTGACAAAGAAATTGTATGAGATGATACTTTTTGTATTTTATTAACGATGTAGAAGCTGTGTTAGGTTTACTAACTCAATTATGTCAATACTGATTTTCGTAGTATGCAATTCGTTTTAGTATTTTTATTTACAGTTTAAACGCGATGTAATATTACTTAGATGATTCATTATTTATTGAATTATTGTTACATGTAGAATTCTGTTATAAAATTAGAATAATCCAGCAGCTTATAATTCCGGTCAAGTGTGCACGTTATTACACTTTCGGCCCTCGCTAAATCCTGCTGTACTCTTCTTATTTGTTACAGTACTACGAAATGTCTTATGGTATCACCGTGGAGATGCACAAGCAGGTAAGCAGCCGATCCTCTTATAAAACAATCCCTTCGCGAACTTGATTTACCCTCGATTGCGCGCCTTTATCTCGTCCGACGAGGGTTGCCGAAAATGGTTACGCGCACCCCAGTTTCCGAGCAACTTCTCGGCACGTTAACCCCTATATTAGTAACGGTGCACGTTTTTATATTTTTTACTATAAGATTGCTTACGTTTCCGTGAAAATTTCACAAAATTTCATCGAACCACTATATTTTTTCAATGTTTCCACATACATTTGTTGTTCGTAAATAAAAACTTTGATGAAAAAATATTGTAATACCACAGTTGAAATAAATAAGCATTTCGTTCGCTAACATAGGGGTCAACGATTTAATTGCCGTGTCACTCGAATTCCGGTGGAAACTTTTATGTATTTCCACAATAATTTTTCTGTACACATTTGAATTTCAATTTTATCAAACCGAGCGAACCGAATTTGATTGTACTTTCGGAATGCAAGAAAGTTAAAAGAGCAATCACTATGAAAATATCATTGCTCCTCGGTATCTCTTACATTAGGAAGATTCTTTCGATTCTGTAACTATAACTCTGCTGCAGCTTAGTTTATCTTCAAATTCGAAATAAATTTTACTGGAAAACTAGAAACGCATAGTCTAATAACTATATAACAATTATTTTTAACAATAATTTTCACGTGCCATTCCAAACGAGACCACAAACAACCTGAAACAGAACCAAACCAACAAACCTATCAAGAAAACAAAAGCATTACTGGGTCAAAGAAGACCTGAACAAAGCAGCAGAGTTAATCCCTGTCGATCGCCTCTCGTTTATGAATCCCACGACCCGATTTCTATCGTCCGGAACAGCAGTAGCGAGGGTCGGTTTAAGGATCAAAAGATTCTTCGTTAATTAAGTTCGAAATATGTCAGCTGATCCCGCACGGCGATGGTGGTTCGTCGGCGTGAAAACGTCGGGGTCGGCGACGGCGCGCATCTGCGCCGGGAAATCGTGTAATTTTAGTTAATTAGGGGAAACACTGGGTCATCCCCCTCTGTCAGCAATTTTCTTAAAAGCGACCGCGAACCCTCGCCCCTGAACTGCTTCACTTCTCTCGAAACTGCCACGGGGTTCGGTCGAGACGGGCCAAGGGAGTCCTAAACTCCAAACAACCCTCCCTGACACGACGAGCTGATATTCATTAGCATTAGCGGCCGATCATTTCTCACCCTTGTACCCAGGGGTGTTGCTTAATGGGGTGCAAGCCCAGGGACAGCAGCCAAGGGGGGGACGAGAGGCACAGCGTCGTCGAATAGGCCGGTCCACCATTAAATCGCCGCGAAATTGCGTCCGGTGGCTCAAGTGGCAAACTAGTTAGCTTAGAATGCTTTATAGCGGCGTTGTTATTGCCGTGTACGATTTGCGCTTCGAATTGATACGCCGGCCTTACGGCGCAGTACCGCGTAATTGACTCATTAGCCCAGCGACGACCCCGGCCGTACTTTCTGTTCGCTGTTTGCGCAGGAGGATCGTTACGGCCTGGGATTGGTCTTACGGACCTGTCGATGACCGGCTTCGATGTAATTTAATTGAAACGCTCGATCCGTTGTTGCGACTCGCGACTAAGTATCGCGACACTCGTGATTTTGATGTATTCACCCCTTAACCGTCAAATCTTCTCGGGGAACGGTGTTATTGAAGAAACTTCAGATTAGGTATTAGTCTTGCGGTATTCGCTCGTGATCGTGAAATTGTTATCAGTTTTTAGTAACAAAAGTTTTTCGTTTGTTTTGAAGAATTAAAGTGTAGTCCTGAATTTAAAGAAGTTAGTGTGGTTTAGTATTACTCTTCGTAAATTCGTTGTGCTCGCGTTGTGTTATGCTGAGAGAGTGGCGTTGAAATTTTGGGGTGATTTAAGTGAATTTTGATTAGATGGTTTGTTTAGTGGAATGAATATACATTGGTCCACAAAAGTATTTAATATTGATATATTTGTAATGCATATAAACATAGATGTGTGTTATTCGATTTCAATAAAATTTATGCGCATCATGCATGTGTATTATATCATGCATACAGAAATTTAAAAATATCCTACTATTCGATGAGTTTATTTCTATTATAAATATATAGATCTGATATACTTTTATGGACCACTCTAATGTTCCACTTAATAGAAAATGTTTGATTACTGGTTGCTCAAGGAGTACATGGAAATAGTGTTATATAAGTACTTCATGGAATGAAATATTATTATATAAATATATTTTGTAAAGGTGACGATATTTAGAAAGAATTTTAATGAAACAGAAAATGTGATTGTCAATTGTCTTCATTTTTATTATTTATGGACTATTGAAAAGAGTTTTTTTTAGATTTCACAAGTGAGTTGTTATTATATTCTACATATAGTGTTGGACAAAAATATAAGACACTTGGGATATTTCTATACAGGGTGAGTCACGTAACGTGACGATTCTAAATAACTCATAAAATATGTACCGTACGAAAAAATGTTTCGAACAAAAGCTGCGCGGTTAAAAAGGGGAAATTCAATAGTAATATCGATTTTATTACGTTTTACTGCTTTATCGAGATATGCAGGTCACCTTCATTTTTTTAAATGGAATTCCTATATTTTCTTTTTGAATTCCGATAAAGCATCGAATTCTGCGTAAAAAATCATCATATTATGTACGGTCGAAAACGAATAATTACTGAGATATATACAAAATAATTATCCTGCATTGCAGGGCATGCTCATTCAACGGGACTGTTATAATCTGGAGGGCAATTTTATTTACGACGACAGATGCCAGTTCTTTTAGTTTTTTTCTGACCTTCTGAATTTTTTATCGCATTATAAATAGCACAGCGACTTCTATTCAATAATTATACTATTTTAGTAACACTATTCTTTTCCGACCACAAGAGCATTATTCTATCAATTTTACTTTTATTTAATTCTTTTCCACGAGGCATAATGTGTTTTGAATAATTTTTGTTTAATAGATGTACTAATATGATGAATAATATGTTTCTGGTCAGAATCGTGAGAGCGATAAATACATTGACTGTTTTATACTTTTGTCCAACCGAAGTCAGATTATGTTGACATTTTTGTCTGCAGCTTCAATAATACAAGTATGTTTCCTTCGAACTTAAGATTTTGTGTACACATTCTAAGGACGGTATATAAGACATAGAATGTATAAAATGTACATTTTTTCTTTCAAATATATAATACATAGAAATATCCGAAGTGTCTTATATTTTTGTCCAGCACTGTACCTTTGCTTCGAAATTTATATTCTGAATATTAACCTAAAACGAACTGTATTTATATTACGTCTAGACGAAGTGAAGTATTTGGTAATAATATTTAAGGCGAATTAATTATTTTATGAATAATCTGACATTTGAAGTTTGATACCGTGTTATCGAAATTCAATCTTCAGTGACGATATATAAATATCCAGTTTGATCGATAAATTCTTCACTTGTACAGAAATCTGTTATGCGGTATCTAAGTTGAGATATCTGAAATTATTCGTTAACTTGTTCAACTTGTTCTTGGAACAGTTGTCAACTTCTAGGACAATTAAAAGTCCCTCCACTACTAATTAAATGTCAGTATAGTTTAGAATTAGAATTAGTTAATCTGAATTATTTGAATATACATTTGAGTACACAATATAATAACGAATACAAATGCTTCAATACAAAATTTTATTACTTCAAGCTTCAACTTTCTAGTTTTAAAAAATAACTTTTAAGAATCATATCTTATTTCAAAAATGAATGTTTTGTAAAAATATGTAAATTCCACAACTACAATACTGTAGGAGAAAGAGAATATTTTATTTGTATAAACAGTATTTTTACTGCACGACTTGCAGTAAAACAATAAATCTAAATCATATCACGCGCACAATATATATTGTCTATGCGGATATATTCATCTCTCTCACAGATTTCTAGAACATTCTTTCCTCACCATGTATTACCTTCACGTACATTTGGAATATTTTAGATTCACTTAACATGAACATCATTTACACGTTGCCTGCCACGAGAATTTTGAACGTTTTGTGTAACAATACATATTCTTTCGTAACAAAGGCAAATGGTATTAGAAATAATTATTAATGACTTGGTATCACAGAACACGTGTTACACTATCATCTAGCGGTTTGTGTTACTAAATATTTTTATTCGACATCAGTTTTCTTATTGTAATTGTATTTAAGCAATTTTGAAGCTCCGGTCACAGGTGACCACTATAGTAATCAACGTGTTAACATGTAAAAATCAATCTTACAGAAAATCAAGTTAGTCTAGAATATTCCAATGTCTGAAACGTTTATTCAAAACACACGCACAATCGCGCTGTTCATCTATTGTACACACGTTCATCGTTCATCTATACATGCATTCTTATAATGCTTTGACCAAATGCCACACAAAACAAAAAAAAACTTAAGAAGAAAAACATTGTGTAGGTTTTAAATTTCATCCAGTTCGATAAAGTTTCAACAAAATTTATGTTATTGAATTTTAATGATCTACATCATTACAGAATCAAATTGTAGGCTCGCAGAATTTTCGAAAACCGCCAAAAAAAAGGAATGTTAAGTTAACGTCCGCAAATCAATCCTGACAGAAAAATACGCGGTTTTCCATCGCGGTGACGTAAATGGCGCACAGCATGATGACGTATCGTCCAGGAACTCGCTAGCTTATTCCAGCGCGGTTGATTTGCGGGACTAACTGGATATTTATCCACCGGGCAAACATTTTGTTCGGGCGTTCGGTTATATTTTGAATCCTCCCGTTTCGATCTGACGGGATCGGATAGAAGAGGGCGCAGTTAAAAATTTTGTAACGCGATAAAAGTAGCGCGGTTTAAAGAGCTCTTTCGGCATCCCGTTCCATTCAAACAGCTAGAAACGGTATACCATTCCGTGACGAGGGAAATGAAAGTAAGCGGTTACCCGATACGCTCGTATAATTG